TACCCAGTCCCACTGCACCTAAGGGAGGAACTTAAACACCCGAAAGAAGAAAACTGTATATACAGTAATTGATCTTTATGATGATGACACTGAAACCAAGGCTGATGCTCACTAAAGCAAATCAGCACACATGTAGCCTGGCATACACGGTCAGGAAATTACCTTGGCATTACCTAAGGGAGCCGGTCGGCCGAGCGGACAGCACACTGGACTTGTGATCCTGTGGTCCTGGGTTTGATCCCAGGTGCCGGCGAGAAACAATGGGCAGAGTTTCTTTCACCCTATGCCCCTGTTACCTAGCAGTAAAATAGGTTCCTGGGTGTTAGTCAGCTGTCACAGGCTGCTTCCTGGGGGTGAAGGCCTGGTCGAGGACCGGGCCGCGGGGACACTAAAGCCCTGAAATCGTCTCAAGATAACCTCAAGAATCCTGAAGGTCACCTCTTGCAACGCATCCAATGCTCCAACGCACTGGGGTTGGTCCCATATAGTACGTTGAATCGAAGTTGTACTGTATAATGACAAAGATGAAAGTGAGTGAAACCTCACATTAAAGTGAGATTTACAGTACAGTATTACCTTATCTGTCCACCCTCCCTCATTTTGTTTCATCATAGAAAAATGTCTATAAGGAGATTTCACCACATATAGCTATCCACGCTACAGCTTTTAAATTAATTTACAAAGATACGTGTGCTACAAATCAGTAAACGAAAATCATGGGAACTCAAACCCATCCTCCGAATTGACAGTACTGTACATTTTAATACTAAGTGTAACAAGTACATTTCCTGACTGCCATACATAGTACATAATTGCACTTACGGGGCTGTTACATTTTGTGGGGTGTTTCTTTTTTGCTTTCACGACTGCAATGCGTACGTCGCCAATGTACATGTGGCAGACGCTTCACGAAGCTGTCGGAATTTGCAGAATAGAAAATACGAGAGCAACCGTACAGGGCCTGGGAGCAAGGTCGAGTTAGAGTTCTTGAGGGTCTCTTCTCAGACTAGCCTCACCTGGTCCTGCTCCACGTTGATCGTTGGAATCTCCTCAATGATTTAACACTTTAAGGGACTCCTAGGGTCCTCATCACATTTATAGTTTGTGACTTATAGGCAACTCGGTGTTGAAGACACTTAGAGCTGAAGGCTTGTGTACTATTGCAGTATTCAGAAGTGGTTCAACGGAAACACCGCATAAAGCTTAACAGTAGTTTATTTACTAACTTAACCACTAATACACAGGGTGCTTGATTTACTTTAGATTGGCATCAGCAAAGCTATGGTTATATTAGCGAGACTCTTGACGTCTGGCTAAACGACTCGTATCCACTCGTGGAGAAACACCTAACTTAACACAGTTGACAGCCAATCATTAACACGGCAACCTAACTGCCAGTATGCAAAGGGATCACAAGAGTTCCAACCGGATACTCGGTAATGATGATATGCAATAAATCAACAACTACACTGTCAATGGGACAGGCAATAACATGCACAATAATATTATCACACAATAACTAAATGTGTGGTGTATGTGAAGCTCACATTCAACAGACGAGTGAAATGCCGTGATACCACACAGATAAACACGCATTCACCGTCGACTCACCTATGACCTGTGACAGGTATGAGAAGGTGAGAACTGTGGTTGATCCTTCAGATCAACACAGACACAATAAAACAATGACAAAATCTTGTACTTACAGATAGGTACCTTTTCCTTACTCACTCACTCACTCAGGCACATTTATACAAGCACTCGTAGGTGGCCTGACAGCTGGTTTTGCTCGTAGACACGGAGGGTACTTGCAGTAGGCCGGGCTGTATGCTTAACAGACAGACACACGCGCACCCACTGGCACTGGCGATGAGGAAGGTGGTGACGTCACGTAGTAGTGTGAGGGCGGCGGCGGGCGCTCGAGGCACAGAAGTACAGAGGTACTGGGGTACTGAGGTGCACGCTCGGGACGAGTGGCGGCTGGCGGCGGCTGTGGTACCATGCAGGTACACTTGTGGTAAAGTCACACACAGGTTACTTAGACGGCGGCACTGCCTTAGTTCACTCTAAGTCACTCACAACGATCTTTGTCACCAGGGGTTACCTGATACCAGTCTGTTTCGCTCTGGAGATTTGTCACTTTAGGCTTCTGATTAATATATTCACACCCGTGATTCTGGGCGAGTGTATCGTATAATCTTCAGATGCTGAGTTAACTTGACGGCGAGGAATAGACGGTGTTCAGTCTATTGGCCGGTAGAACAGAACACGTCCACTTTGCTAGAGATCCCTCACAAGAATGCCTGAAGCTCAGGGCGTCTTGTGGCACACACAAGGGGGTTACATTTTGACCAATGGCATTGCAGCAAATGAGCGGGAACCAATCATATTAGCTCGTTCGATGAGCAGTAGCAGGAGTGACGTCATGAACACGTCACGACCACGTCATAGCTGTTATTGTCCATCGCGCCGGTTGACCCCAGAGGTCAGACGCTGCTAGCGTCTTCCCTCTCCCACGCTCCACCACCGGTGTACTCACTGACCCTTCGGTGGCAAGTATACTTAACTCCCTGTATCTACTTCCTGCCTGGATATACGGCGGCCTCCATATTATGAAAGTGTTCCTGGTTAAGTGGGCATTCTGGAGATACCCAACATGCCAGGTCACTATCCAGGGTTAACAGAAATAGGACCTTGTGCACAAGATCGGTGCACTGCACAGCAATGAGCCATTCCAGTCAGCTGTGGGAGAATCTTGAGAGACACTCTCTCACACATTTACCTCCCCATTTATTCTCCTTGTTTTCTGTTAAGACACTCAGAATTTTAGGATGAAATTTTAAAGTTCAGTTCGCTATACACAAGTTTTAAATACCAGGAATTTCTTTTTCAGTTTTATTAAACAATAGAGATTTTATTCAAAATTTGAAAATATCCCGAGATACTTAACAATTTATTGAAATATTTTAGTTTTGTTTTATTTGTTTTATAAAACTGTAATATCAATATAGCTATAGGTTAAGTAGTAATTGTAATTAAGAAGCAATAAAATGCTTATCTTCAAAAACTAAGAAGGTCAGGTCAGGTCGTGGTTTTCTATTCAGCTTTTTAGGTAAACTCAAATATTCACAATACAGTATATTTGAGAGTACAGTTTAATAATAAGTGAAAATAAGTACAATTCCTGACTGTCATACATAGTACATAATTGCACTTATGGGGCTGTTACATTTACTTCCCCATTTTTGGAGGACGGGCTGGGAACTCAGTCGTTCAATTGTGTGGACCACTCTGGCTGGTGTTTGGTTAATATAGTTCACTTGTGTGATCCAACTTCTCATATGAAGGAATTATTAATTGTAACCTATGATAGAATGGAAAAGTTTTCCACCACTTTGTGAACTCTGTCCCAACATCGTAAGCAAATTTGCACATCCCCCACTTCGGCGAACCAGAGTACGTTGAAACAAGTGAGTAAATCCGGCCTGAAAAGTGTGGGACCTAGCCGGAGATTTGCCGAACCGGGGTACGTCGAATCAAGGTTGCACTGTACTGGAGACTGCATGCCTATCAAGAACCGTAGGCATATGAACTGCCGGTGTCAGAGCTTAGCCACCTAGGGTCAAGGACTCCAACGCCTGCCTCGCTGAGGTCGCCCAACAAACGGGCGTGCTGGTTGAGTGGACATTTGCTTTTTTGTTGTTTTCTCTTGGAAGGGGGTGGGGGGGGGAGGGGGGGAAGTTCTTAGCCTCTTCAGTCTTGGGTTGCAATATTTTACCAGTTAGGGCTTGTAATGGTTGGCTTACCTTTATAGGTGATACCCTCGGTCGATGATAGACATGATTATACTCTCAAACAGTGAAGTGTTCAAATGCCATTGCTCCCTTTGCCTCTCTAAGGGAATCAGGTTCTGGCTTGTGGTTCCCGGTAGGCATACGGACTCCAGTAACTGATGCTCTAGACTAATATGACGGATATCAGTCCGATAGCTGCAGGGAGCCTCCAAGGCTCAACCCAGAAAATGGCATTTCATTTCATTCAACGCTGGCTTTTTGGGGCATTTTTTTGAGGCTGCAATCTCATTCTAACCATGCGGTAGTCTGTTTTGCTTCTCTGACTTTCTGACTTCTGACACTTTTGTCCCTGGAGGTAGCAGACATAATTAACTTTTAAATATAAGGTGTTCATAGTGCCATCGCTCCTTGTGCCTCTCTGAATCTGAATTAGCACAATATGTTAATAAAGTCCATGGAACAAAAAAAGTATATACACATTCTGTGAAGCATTATATAACTACTGTAAGCATGGACCCATTGTACCACCAGAAACACATTTAACATAAATCTGGCCCCCCACCAACCCAACAATAGTAACACTCAGTCAAGAAGAATGTGAGGTGGCTCAGGTCAGGGGGGAACCTTTTTGTGGGTAGGATGCTACCACATAGTAGCAGTTAATGAAGCAGGCTGATTGATACTTGGCAAGAACATGGTCACTTGTGATCTTGAGGTTATCTTGAGATAATTTCAGGGCTTAGCATCCCCGCAGCCTGGTCCTCGACCAGGCCTCCTTTCTGTTACACACCCTCAGAAAGCAGCCCATAGCAGCTGTCTAAATCCCAGGTACCTATTTACTGATAGGTGAACAGAGGTATAACGGTGAAAGAAACTCTACCCATTTATTTCTGCCTCCACCGGAGATTGAACCCGGTACCTTAGGACTGTGAATCCCGAGCGCTGTCCACTCGGCTGTCAGGCCCCTGATGCCAAAGAATGGTTAGATGAACTTTGTACATTTATTAAAGAACCCTCCTGGAGTTTTTTCAGGCAAGACTAAATATTTACAAGTTTACCTCTGGTTCCAGTGAGAATGTCAACCTACCATGACTGTTCATGATCCTTCAATCTTGATCAGAATTATCTTACCTTAGGAAGTGACATAAGTGGGATAGGTCATAGTTACTAAATTTTTAGTAACCTAAAACATTATTATGATCTTACCAGGTAAAGAGGACTTCCAACAACACCGCCTACCACGCCCACACCAGCTCCTGCAGTAATGCATCCTATGGTTGAAACACTTCCATCTGGTCGAGATATGAGCCCCGAGTCCAGGATTTTCCTATAGAGCCCAAACCTAATACCATTCATTACCACCTGGTATCCCAAAGCTGGCATCAGTCCTTTTTGCAGTCCCATTATTCCATCAGCCTGTAAATATGCATTGATTTTAAACAAGAAACTGCAATTAAATACTGTATTTGTTAATTATATTGTTATTAATTTTCAGAATGCAACATGATCATTATAATTTATTAATTGTTACTAATTGAAGAACATTAGGAGAGCATAAACATTTTAGGTGTAGGAGAGTGGTACTCTGAGATTCCTGGAAAGTTTATGGCTGGGAACACGCTGATGGGTCAGAAAACTAAAGTGTTAATACTGTGGCTATAACAAAAATCTCAAAGCCAGAAAAAATTTTGCTAAATTATAAATATTTTATTTTTCCAGACTTTTTTTTATATAAAGACTCCACATACTGCACTGTAAATAAGGAAAACTAGATTGACTTGGATCATTAACCCCGTGCTTCGCCAACTGAGAAAACTTGGTCGGTGGGAACTGCACTAACTGAGAAATCACCTTTTGAATATTTCGTACCCATTCGAAACGCACAAGCGGTAGGTTGTGTACAAGATGGATGCCCGAGGCCTTCAGTGAGCGGTGGCCATTTTGAAAAAATCCCAGAATGCCCCATGCCTCAGTTCTGATTGAGCAACTATGGCTGACGCATGCGCCTCCGGCTCACAATTGCCTGTGAGACATGCTGTTGAAAGACTGCTTTCTTCAGGGCAGATAAACACTTTATTGTTTGAGGATGAAGTGGAATATGATATTGATGACCCAAGGAGCGATAGAGACGTAATGCAAGGGTCCAATGGAAGTGATACAGATGAAGACGATACAGTGAGGGCATATCATTCAGGGCGAGCGGCATGCACAGTGGTGCATCACAGGTCATCGCCCTTGCCAGTATTGTCCCCACCACCACCACCTCCATCTCCCATTTTTGACGAAAGTGATACCGTTGAGTTATTTTCTGGGTTCAGTGAAGCCGATTCTGATACAAGTTGCATAGATGAGCCAAGTGCTAGCAGCTGCCGTTTGCAGTGTTACTAGGTACAGATCTGCTGTCTCAGCAGGTTGCTCTGCTAAGCACCGCCATGTATCCCCCTCACAACGACACTGATGACAGTGTTGCCTCTACACCTATTTTCCCTGCTCGCCCTACTAGTAGACAAGTTGGAAGACCTCCAACTCCTCCCCAAAGGATATTTAGTTCAAGAAAACACACCTGTAGTGGAGTCGCTCGTGGCGGTGCTCCAAGAACGGGTGAATTTGTGTGGGAGGACTGATATTTTTGTCCCACAAACCTCAATTTGATCATAGTGATGTGGGGAGGTTGCACCCATGTTCCCCATATACAGGTAACGACATGACGGAAATGGATTATATTCTTGCATATTTTGATGAGCAGTTCATGCAACATCTTGTTGCTGAAACCAACAGGTATGCAGGACAACTTGCTGAAGGTGGTATATTACAGACTTCACATAAGATACATTGGATGAACACAATCGTGGCTGAGCTGTATAAGTTCTTTGCTCTGTGTATGCTCATGAAACATTCGGTGAAACACGTCATACAGGATTATTGGAACAGAGAACGTGCTGTTCCAACACCTGTGTTTAACAAGTACATGTCATGAGACAGGTTCCTAATAATATTACGGTGCCTACACTTTGAAAATATTGCAAATGTTGATAGAAATGATAGACTTTGGAGAGTGCGAAAAGTGTTCAGTGACATCAGAGGGAAATTTCGTGACTACTTTGTACCTTTGAATGTTGTCATTGATGAATCCCTAGTACTTTTCAAGGGACGTCTTCTCTTCAAACAGTACATATCATCGAAACGACACCGTTTTGGCCTCAATTTTTTTGTACTGTGCGACTGTGAAACCAGAATGGTGATCGATATATTATATTCTGGCACAGACATAGACATACCCACACAGGATCCACATGGATTTTCTGGCAGTGTGGTGGTGACAATAATGGAACCACTGCTGGGCAAGGGGCACATTCTGTACACTGACAATTATCATATGAGCCCCTTGCTAACAAAGTTCTTGCTTGAACATAACACGGGCATATGTGGCACCATAAAGACAACTAGGAAAGAAATGTCTGTTTTGAAAATAATATTGGTGTAGGTGATTGTGAACATAGAAAATGTGACAGAATATTATCAGTGCGTTGGAAAGACAGACGTGAAGTCAACATGTTGTCAACTATTTACACTGGTGAAATGCTTGACAGTGGCAAAATGAGGTATCAAGGTGATGGAACATTGTATAAGCCAGATTGTGTCATTGACTACAATATAAATATGAGACTTGTAGATAAATGTGACATGATGGATGCTGCCATCAAGTGTGTCTGCAAAATTGTAAAATGGATAAGGAAATTATTCTTTCATCTTGTAGACGTAACAATGCTCAACTGTTACAACCCGCGTTTGGTGAAAACGGGCAAAAAAACATCAATTCAAGTTTTTAGTCATGCTCTGGTGTTGAAATTACTCATCAAGTATGGCCAGGAAGACAGGTAAGGACAGTTTTTCCTGCCCCAACAAGACCACATTTAGTTTGCAACAGACTGGCTGGTAAAGATGTCTTTACAATTCACAAGCCTGCCTACCTACCGCCTACAGGAACTAATGCCAAAGGTGAGAGCATTGTTCGCAAGAACTTGGAACGAAAACAAAGGAAGAGATAACCTGTGTGTACCATATGCGTTGAGTGCCAAATCCAATTCTGTCTCATGGACGGCTTCTTTGAATATCACTTGCTTGCTAAGTACTAACTGTTACTTTATAAATAGTGTGTGAAACTGTATATAATGTATTACAGTACAACATTGATTCAACGTACCCTGATTCAACGAATCTCCGGCTGGTTCGCACATTTTTCAGCCCAGATTTACTCACCCAGTTCGATGAACAATGGTTCTCCGCAGCAGGGGATGTTCGGATTTGCTGACGATGTCGAGACAGAGTTCACAGACTGGTGGAAAACTTTCCCATTCTATCACAGATTACAATTAATAATTCGCTCATATGACAAGTTTGATCACAAAAGTGGACCACACAAGTGGACCGCACAAGTGGTCCCCAAGTGGTCCACAAACTTACGATGTTGGGACAGAGTTCACAGACTGATGGAAAACTTTCCCATTCCATCACAGGTTACAATTAATAATTCCTTCATATGACAAGTTGGATCACACAAGTGGACCACACATGTGGGCCACACATGTGGGCCACACAAGTGGACGACAAGTGGTCCACAAGCTTACGATATTGGGACAGAGTTCACAGAGTGGTGGAAAACTGTCTCATTCTATCTACAATTAATGATTCCTTCATAAGACAAGTTAGATCACACAAATTGATCACACAACAAGTGAACCATATGAACCAAACACAAGCCAGAATGGTCCGCACAACAAGTAAAGCATATTAACCAAACACCAGCCAGAGTGGTCCACACAAGTGAACGACCGAGTTTCAATTATTTTCGTTCACTGATTTGTGGCACATGTATCTTTGTAAATTAATTTAAAGGCAGAAACGTGAATAGCTAGCTAATGTGTTGAAATCTTCTTATATACATTTTCTGTGATGAAACAAGATGAGTGAGGGTGGATAGATAAGGGAAGATAAGGTACTGTAAACCTCACTTTACAGTGAGGTTTCACTCACTTTCGTCTTGTGTCGTCATAGTTCAGTAACCCATGACTTTGAATGTTTCAGATTAATAAATCATTTCTAAAACTGGTGTTTTAATAACTGCTTATTATCCTAATTAAACTAAACTAAATAAAACCAAAAATATACTGAAATATAATAGATATCTGCTATTTGAGAAATTAATCATGTTATTAGCGGCTCACAAGTCCAGTGCGAGTGGACAGGTCTATTCCGTGTGCACACCACCATGCATGTTTCGTTGGATTTCGTCACCATAGTTCAGCGACTTATGGCTTCAAAATAATAAAATTAATAAATCAGTTCTAAAGTATTTTTATAGCTCTTATTATCGTAATACTGTTGCTAAACTAAATATATAACCTCAAAATATATAATTTAATGTAAATCCAATATTTGAGAGAAATTTATGTTACTGGATCTGGCTTAAACACCAGCTTACTGTAGGGTGTATGTATAGACCTAGTCTGCGTTCGTACAGTATGCACTCAGTGCCCTTAGCTTTGTCTGCGATTGACATACAGTATTTAACCGCCGGTGGAAGAATAATCTTAGAATTTAAAATTTTTTTACTACAGCTGTATTAATGTACAAAATGTCTCAGGGGTTTACTAATAGTGCTTTATTAATGCCAAAAATGAAGCAATATTTTGCAAGAACTAGTAGCAGAAAATCAACCAGCACGAGCACAGCCGTAACCAGCACGAGAACAGCTGTACCTGAATGTAACTCATTCAAGGTCACACGCACCAAACTTTCTCCCCCAACAATACCATTTATGATGTTATTACACTATATACAGCCATTATATATAAGTATGTATATATTTTGTTCACCACAACTGTACAGCTAAGCTGATATAGTTAGTTCAGGCACTAAGAGTCGTCGCTATACACAGATGGCGGCTGGCGGCTCCCTCACTCTTTCAAGGTCAAACGCACTAAACTTTCTCCCCCAACAATACTGTTTGCAGTGTTATTACACTATATACCCATATTATATATAAATATCTACATGTTTTATGCACCGTAACTGTACACCTAAGCTTGTAGAGAGCCCAAAGAGCATAGAGGCCACCCTCTAAACAGCTAGACAAATCATGCAGACGACATCACCTCCGTCACCCAAATGGCTCTTCCCAGCATAATCCTTTTGCTGTTATTACACTAATACACACATTATATATAAGTATCTACATTTGTGTTCACCATTGAGAACCACTGAGCTGGTATGGTGAATGCAGACATTAATAGGTGGCCACAAGAAAGAGTTCTAGGGGTGGTTCTAGATAGAAAACTGTCACCTGAGGACCACATAAAGAATATTGTGCGAGGAGCCTATGCCACACTTTCTAACTTCAGAATTGCTTTTAAATA